GTTGCTGAGCGAGATAGTTATTAAGTAAGTTTTGCCCCATTTTACAACCTTTCTTGACCCAGTCGTTAAGTGAATCACTTCAGTTGTTAAGGTTGTTAACTGAATCTGGCTTCCACATTGACTTTGCTTATCAGAAGGTCGCAAAAGGTGATCACATGACCCCAGGACACTGCAACTGTCATAAATATGAGCCAGTTGCCAAGCAGCTGAATTTTGATCACGTGACCATGGGGACGTTGCAATGTTCAGAAGTGTAAAAAACCAGTTACAAGTCATTGTTTTCAATGCTGTTATAACTTCAAATAAACAAAAGCTTGTAAATCAAGGATTACCTACATGTTGTTGCTAGGAGTCAAAAATGACTTGATAGCACATAATCAATCAATCAATCAATCAATCAACCAAGAAGGCCTATTTTCATGTGATCATCATCCTGCTTATTTGGAGAAGCTCTGCTTGCAATTGTGCTCCAGTTTACGAATGGAGACCACACTATATTCTTAAGCTACGTTTTTCTGAAAACTGCTGCGGACAGAATACAAGGTTCTGCCGACCTAAGGAAGGGTACAAATAATCTTTCTATAGTTGTACAATAAATGTTGACTAGTAATGACATTGAATGTCAATCGTCTTATTTTTGTTAACATGGGTTAGATTTTCTTCTTATAGTGAGAAGAAACAGTTAATAAAATAGAGGTTGGCACGAACCACCTTTTGTGGTTAGTTACTTACTAATTTCCATTTAAAAAGTACAAGTGCTGATTTAAGGTAACTCGTGAGCCAGCATCTGCAAATGCCTAAGTATGCTATTAAGGAAGCTTACTTGAGTTCAGGGGTTTGGTGGTTTGGAGATTTTGGCTCAGGAATTTGTTTTGTTCCTTCAATACTCTTTTTCACAACTTATTAAGCAGAAAAATGCATAGAATTACGGACCTTGTAGGTTATCTAGTCCAACTCCCTACTCAAGCAGGAGACTTTATACCATTTCTGACAAGTCACTGTCCAGTCTCTTCTTGAAATCTTCCAGTGATGAAACTCCCACAACTTCTGAAGGCAAAGCTGTTCCATTGGTTGATTGTTCTGTCAGAAAATTTCTCCTTATTTCAAAGTTGAATCTCTCTTGATTAGTTTCCATCCATTATTCCTTGTCTGGCCTTCAGGTGCTTTGAAAAATAGGTTGACCCCCTCCTCTCTGTGGCAGCCTTTCAAATATTGGAACACTGCTATCCTGTCTCCCCTGGTCCTTCTCTTTACTGGATTATCCAAGCCCAGTTCCTGCAACCATTCATCATATGTTATAGCCTCCAATCCCCTAATCATCCTGTTTGTTCTTCTCTGCACTCTTTCTAGAGTCTCAACATCTTTTTTGTAGTGTGATAACTACATGTGGGGTCTGCCAGACTCAGTTTCCGGTCCCCCTTTCATAAGTTAACTTAGCATCTGGAATTTATTTTGCATGAGGAGACAATGTTTCTCTAACTTCAATCATGCCTAGCCTAAAATCTTGGTTTATCAGATTCATTTGCACTCCATTCCACAACACTAACATTTTCACTATCCACTGAGCTTGATCTTGCTTTTCCTCGCTGCAACCAACTGACCTTGAAACTTGTTTCTATTAGGAAACAATATTTGGAGTGATTCCTCTTTGCCACTCAACTGACCTGGAAGCAAATCAGCTTGGCTGCCCAACAGAGACAATGGAAGCACAAGAGTCCAGAGTCAATCCAAAATTGAGCAAATGCTATGTGTGGTTAAGAAAACGGGCCTACATTTGCACAATGCATCACTGGCCTCTGTAGTCTCCTATTATCAAAGCCATCTTCTTGCCCTGTTTTAATTTTTTTTATTCATTTATAATACAAAATACAAAAGAAAATAATAAAAAAAAAATAGGGAGGAAGAGAAAAGTGTAGACAAGAAGGAAAAAGAAAGAAAAGACACTGACTTCCGACTCCCTTTGGTGCAGTAGAATAAAATAGTAACATCGAACCTCAACTTTTTAACTTTTACATAATAGTATAAACTAGCCATTTCTATATCAATTCTTGCTCTGAGAGCATCCCTTAAAGGTCAAAGAGAAGACCACTTGAAGCTTACTGGATGACCTTGGACCACTCACTTTTCTTCAGCCTACGCATTTGCATCCTTAGCCTAGGAAGTATTCAGCCAAATTGGACTACTGGGACATGTCCAGGGGCTAAAGTATCAGATATAACTATAAAGCACATCAGAAGAAAAAAAAATATTCCCATAAATTACAGGTAGTCCTTGACTTCTATCATATCACAAGACCTAAAATGGACACCTAACATCAATAACGTCATCAAAAAAGCACAACAAAAAATGTTCTTTCTGCGCCAACTCAGAAAGCTCAAACTGCCCAAGGAGCTGCTGATATAGTTCTACAGAGGAATTATTGAGTCTGTCATCTGCACCTCTATAACTGTCTCGTTTGGCTCTGCAACCCAACAAGACAGACACAGACTTCAGAGAGTAATTAGGACTGCAGAAAAAACAATTACTACCAACCTGCCTTCCATCAAGGACCTATATACTGCAGAAGTCAAAAAGAGGACCATGAAAATATTTACAGACCCCTCACATCCCGGACACAAACTGTTTCAACTCCTACCCTCAAAACGATGTTATAGAGCACTGCACACAAAACAACTAGACACAAGGACAGGTTTTTCCTGAATGCCATCACTCTGCTAAACAAATAATTCCCTCAACACTGTCCAGCTATTTCCAGTCTACTACACTACTATTACTATTAATCTTCTCATCACTCCTTATCACCCATCCCCTCCCACTTGTGACTGTATGACTGTAACTTTGTCACTTGTATCCTTACGATTTATATTGACTGTTTCCTGGTATGACTTGATTGCTTATTGTACCCTATGACTATCATTAAGTGTTGTACCTGATGACTCTTGACGAATGTATCTTTTATTTTATGTATACTGAGAGCAATTGCACCAAGACAAATTCCTTGTGTGTCCAATCACACTTGGCCAAAGAATTCTCTCAACTTACAACCACAATTGAGCCCAAAATTTCTGTTGAGACATTTGTTCAGTGAGTTTTGCCCCGTTTTACGACCGTTTCTTGCCACAGTCATTAACTGAATCGCTGTAGTTGATCAGTTAGTAACCTGGGTTGTTAAGTGAATCTGGATTCTCCATTAGATATTGCTTGTCAGAAGGTCGTAAAAGGAGACCCCGTGACTGTGGGACACAACAATGGTCATAAATATGAGGCAGTTGACAAGCATCTGAATTTTGATCACATGACCAGGGGGATGCTGCAAAGGTCATAACTGTGAAAAATGGCCAGGTGCCTCATTTTTCAATGCCCTTGTAATTTTGAGTGGTCACTAAACGAACTGTTGTAAGTTGAGGACTATTTGTACAGGTAATCCTCAATTTACAACTATTTGTTTTGTGACCGTTCAGAATGACAATGGGACTGAAAAAAGTGACTTACAGCTAACCCTTACACTTACAACCAAGAAGTGACTTACAGCTAACCCTTACACTTACAACCAACCTTGCCTTCCCACGGTCATGTGATTAAAATTTGGTTGCTTGGCAACCAGCATGTCTTTACAAGAGTTGCAGTGATCACCATTTGTGATCTTCCCATCTGGCTTCCAGAAATCAAAGTCAATCAGGGAAGCCAGATTCACTTAATGACTGTGTGATTCCCTTAACACACCTGCACTGATTCACTTAATCACGAAGGCAAAAATGTCATCAAATTGGGCCCAACTCAGAACAGCCACCTTGCATAACAACAACAAAGTTTCTCTCAGTTGTGTTTGTAAGTCAAGGATTACCCGCAGCAATTTTGCACAAATTATTTTGGTACAGAAGAAAGCCAAAAACTATGCCCTGGAAATCTAAACGATGCCCTTTTTTTTCAGTTTATTCCTCAGTCCTGAAAACCTCAGCAAACCTCCTTCCATGTACCTTTTATTATCTGAGGGCTGGAGACTTGGTGTTCTTTTAAAAAAATACTATTAATGGAAGCTGCAACAGCTTTCTGAATGTGGTGCCAAACACCATTTCTTGTTCTTGCATAGCAAAAGGAATCCCTGCAGCTTTTTGCAACAAGAGTATATATAGTAATCTTGTTGCATGCCCATTCATAACAAGGTATTGGTGATTCCCAACCTCGGTTAACACAGCATTAGATTCATCATCTTTTTGGCAGGATTTCTAAACATAAAATGTTTTGAGCAAGAATTTTAGGTTTGGAAAGGGGATGTCCGTCTTCTCTCTTGGCAGCCTGTCCAGAAATTTAATTCTCACCTGGGCTGCTCAGTTCCAAGGTCTGAGCTTCGGTGGGAAACTACTCCAGCTTTCCTTTTGCAATTGCAGCTTTTGTTCTGCTTCCTTATGCTGGATTAAATTATATTTATCCCTCCAATCTCAGATGTATGGATGGAAGACCTACTTTGGCCAGGACACTGGAGTTGGACATTGACCTGTGCTGCCTGTTGTCTCCCAATCCCCATCCTCTGTTATAAAATTAAAATTGTACATTGATAAATAAATTGAGCAGGGCACATCCTTTTCTTGCACCGACTGCTTACAGAACAGCAATCCTCTTTCCTTTGAGTTGAGCCAGGACACCAAGCAAGAGATGAAACCTGATAACTCCTGTTAGTAGACAAGGAAGCAGGATAGGAATATCTCAGTTATTCCAGAAGGATTTAAACTAGAACCTCTTTAGATAGTCCCCAAGAAGCCAAATGCATCTGGCAAAAGCCTTAGGAGTTGGCTGCACTGTCCACCTTTCCCCTTCCAAGGACACAAGATGGCTTGCAAAGAAGCTCTTTCATATCCAGTCATCCACTCCACAAATTTCCACTACACACAAAAAAAGAAAAGTTCTGGCCAGACAAGGGGATAACGGATCTCTCATGGCCACGGCCAGGTGCCTCCAGGAGCAAGGAGAGAGACAGGGAGAGGGAAAGGCCCAACTCTTACCTGGGAAGAAGACTCGGTTGTGGCTCCAGGCCTCATGCCAATTTGGGGAGGGTGGCCCAGTTGGGGCCCCTCTGCAGCTTGCACATGCAAGAGCTCTATTGCCTTAAGCGGTGCAAAGTGCTCTGCAGAGCTGCCTGTTCCTGGAGAAGGGCTCCTTCTATCAGCAGCTCCTCCTCCCTTCATGCAGTGCCAGGGGACGGGTGGAAGGGAGGGAGGGACCAGCCCTCCTTGGCAGTTGAGCCAAGATAACTGCAACTAGGTAGAGACTCTCCCCGTTTCCGGGAATGGCCTGGTGCCTGACAGGAGGGAAAGGTGATTCCCTGTAGTTCTCCAAGGAACGCTGGCTTTTCTCATCCAGCATACAGGTGTTTTGGCCTGAGTTACACACTGATGGGGAGGGTTATTAATGCCTGGGTCTAGCAGAAATCTCTGGATCCGGACACACAGAAATTTCAACTCCTAGCAATGAGTTAGGGGACATGAGTGTCAAACTTAAGGCCCGTGGGCTGGATCCATTCTGTGGGGGTGCTTAGATCTGGCCCGTGGGACTGTCCTGGAAAAAGCAAAGGACCAGCCCGCAGTGCCTCTGCCAGTGAAAACGGAGCTTGAGAGGGGCATGCGCAACCTCCATTTTTGCTGCCAGAGGGCTAGCAACCTCCATTTTTGTTGCCAGAGGGCTAGCAACCTCCATTTTTTCTGCCAGAGGGCTAGCAACCTCCATTTTTGCTGCCAGAGGGCTAGAAACAAACTATGTTTTTTTTTGTTTTGTTTCCCCTTTTGTATTTGAGCATCCAAGAAGGGACAGGAAAGGAGAAAGAGGAAAGACGGAGAAAAAGAAGGAAAGATGGGAAGAAAGCAAGGAAGGAAAAATAAGGAAAGAGGGGAAGGAAGAAGAAAGGAGAATGAAGCGGGAAGGAAAAAGAAGAGAAGGAAGGGAGGGAGGGAGATTATAATGAGATGGGCGGAGGCTCTGAGGGGAGTCCTGCCTTAGCGTTGGCCACCACAGGTTCCCCCAACACTAGTGACCTCGAGCTGACTGTGTCCCCCTGACTCCCCACCCCGAGGTCAAACACAACCCTGATGCAGCCCTCAATGAAATAGAGTTTGACACCCCTGAGTTACAGCTACCACGTCTGGACTGACAATATCTAGACGGCCCCTGCAAAGGTAGGAAAATAATCACTTGTTGCTATCATCCTATGGATTTTCACAATCCAGATTTAGGAGTGCGATTAGTGATCCACAACCAGATCTTTGCCACAACACGCTCTTCAGAACGGAGAGCTACCAGCAGTCTACTCCCAGATTTTGAAAACCGTATTTTTTTCATAGATCTGTAAGGGCAGCCACGCTCTTGATATGACCAAGAAGTCAAGCTGTAAATCAGCAGAAGATCCTGAAAATCTTTAATGAGGTGCAGGATATTTATTTATTCATCCACTGCCAGGAGTTTGATCCTGACCGGCTCAAGGATGATTAAGACTTCTATCCTTCCAAGGTTGATAAAATGAGGGTCTATATTGTTGGGGGAAAGATACTGACTCTGTAAACCGCTTAGAAAGGGCTGTAAAGCACTGTGAGGTGGTATATAAGTCTAAGTGCTATTATTATATGTACGTGTGTGCCTTCAAGTTAGTTTTTGACATCTGGTGACAGCCTGAACTATTCCCTGCAGTTTTTATGTCAAGGCTGTTCAGAAGTAGTTTGCCATTGTTTTCTTCCCAGGGCTGAAAGAGAGGGGCTGGCCCATGATGACTCATCTGTCAGGATTAGAACTTGAAACATCATGGTTTCTAGCTTGCTGCCTTAATCACTACGCCCAACTGGCTCTCTATTTTTTTCTTCTTCTTCTGTTCAGTCATAACCAATTCTTGGACATTGCCTGGACAAGTTCCTGTAGTTTTCTTGGCAATGTTTTTCAGAAGTGGCTTACCACTGCATCCTTAAAATAAAAAAAAGCATTGAAAAATGCATCAAGACTCAGCGAAAACACAAACCAACATGTTAACCCATGCCAAAGCTCCTGAATTAATTATCCCGCTCACAATACTTGGGTTTCAGGCTGGGATTTAGGGATAAAGAAGGATTGTGGGACTCGAAAAATGACTATTAAATTTTGAGATGACATAAAGCTAGGCGGAGTGGATTACGCTTTCGAAGAGAAGATTTCAGAAGATGTAGACTGACTTGAACATTGAGCTGAAACAAAAAGACAAAATGCAACAGGAAAGAAACGTGAAGTTGTCAATCCCAGGAGGAAAAAAAAATGAAAGTGACTAACACAGGATGGCTTGGGAGTAGAATATGTGAAAAGGATCTGGGTGTTCTAGGAAATCATGAGCCAAAACTGTGGTGCAATTGGCCAAGCTCCAAGCTCCATTCCTGCAGCCCCGAAAATGACAAATCTGACTCCAGAGGCAAATTATACAGAATAGCAATAAGACTTACATACTACTATATGAGTATATATACTGAATAGCAATAAACTTATATACTGCTCCATAGTGCCTTAGAGCACTCTCTGAGTGGTTTACAGTATCAGCACATTGCTCCCAATAATCTGGGTTCTTGTTTTACCAGCCTTGGAAGGATGGAAGGTTGAGTCAACCTTGAGCCAGTCAGGATCAAACTCCAGACTGTGCACAAAAGTGCATTGCTCCCCGAATAACAAACCGGTAGACTTATGGACTCAAAAACCTGACCAACGATCTCTTTTTGATCTCCCCACTCAATTATGCCCATTTTAAGTGAGGTTAGAAGTGAGGTTCAGAAGGTCTGGGGCCTGCCATGTGCAAGCCAGCTGCTTCCATGTACCATAGTTCTTCTCAGGCAACAGCTGGAGAAGTGGCTGGGAGAGAGGCATGTGCTGGCAGGAAGCCAACTCAAGAGTCACCAGCGACCGGACTTCTGGTTTGAGTTTCTTTGCTGACAGACCGAAACCACGATTGTACGTGGTTTCGATCCGTGCTCGCCACCAGAGTGCCCTGAGCCGGCTGGTTTTGGGGCTAAGCCACCCCGTAGAGGTGGTGAAGAGGGGGGAGACTGCCAGCAGGGTTGAGGAGAGCTGCATCTCTCCTCCTCAGCTGGCCATTACTCCCTTTCCCGAAGGTGGTTGCAGCGGTGGTCAGAAATGGCCACCTCAAAGAAGAATTCGACTGGAAAAGAATGTGCAGGAGGAAGATAAGAAGAGAAAGTCTTGGTTGACTGGGTTAAACTGCAAAAGCAACAACGCAAGGTACCCTGGAATTTAAACTATAAAAAAAATAACATTGTTCCCAAAGAAGATTTTGAAGCAGCGAAGGAGAGAGGGAAGGGAAAGGATTTGGTTTTGGTTTTTTTTCTTTTCCCTTCCATATACTGACATGTAAGAGACTTAAGCAAGAAATTGGAAAAAAACCTACTTTGACATCAACAGGCATTTAAGCTGAAAATAAAATGTCCAAGGGATAATAAAGATTTCTGGATACTTAAAAGCTTTTAAAAGCAGGAAAGGAGAGAAAAAGAATAAAAGGGCAGTATCTGGAAAAATGGAGGAGACTGCCTGGAACTAAAACCTCAACAAGATTCCTAAAAGCTACATTTTAACTAAAACTTGGCAACAAAATAGTAGAACCCCAGGAAGAAAAAGTGGAAAAAAGAAGTAAGAAGAAACAGCTTGGGATTATTTGGATTACTTGGTGATCTCTGGATTTTTGGTTATTGCATTTAAATGTCTAAAATCAATCGGGTGGTTGTTTAAAAGTGTTTAAAATGGCACCACTTTTAGAAGAACTGAAAATAGAACTTAAAAAGTACAAAGAATATACACAAGAAGGGAGAGGTTCTTTTGGCTTCATATTTCAACTCTTAGAAATGGAGATCTGGAACTATGAGAAAGAACAAGAAACGCTTGCAGAACAAGAAGATTGGGACAAAGAAGAAGCCATCTTTAATGATCAAGTAATTTTATGGGGGGGGGAGGAAAGGGGGGAAAGAGAATGAAAAGTTTAAGATTTGAAAAAACAACCAAAAAGAAGAATAGTTTGAAAAATAAGTGTAATATTAGAAAGCAACAGAAGAGGGGATTACAGAAGAGAGAATTAGAAGTAGAGAGACAAGGGGGTAAAAAGGGGAGGGAGAAGAAGAGAGGGAAGAAGGAAAGGAAAAGAAGTTATAAAGGATAGAAACAAGATATAGAGAAACAGGGCAAAGGTATAAGAATTGAAAGTATAAGCCTGTTTAGAGATAATGGGTGAAAACTTAATTGTAAAAGGGATTCTGCAAAGGTACATAAGATAGTATTGTTATATTACAAATAGAAATAATTTTTGAAAATATGCGTAAAATGATGGATAAAATATTTATCGTAATCTAGTGGAATGTTTGTTAATAAACAAATGAAATAAAGCGAATGAGAGAATTAAATTAGGAAAGGATGGGAACATTTTAATTTATAAAATATAAGTGAAGAGAAATATGGGGGAAAAAATTAATTATGGAAAGTTTATAAGTGTTCCCAAGGAAGTATGATATTTAATTCAAAAGAAATGTTAAAGATGCTAAGATTTTAATGAATATTAATGATAGAACTGAGTTGGAATGGAATGAGTGTTTTATTTACATATATTTATAATCCTTTTTTAAGAATATAGTGTGTATTTTAAGAATGTACCAAGCAGAATTCGATTGGAAGTTATGTATTATATTAAATGTTATAATCTTAAAGGTATACATTGAAGCTTAAATAAGAGTTTAATGGATAAAATTAAAAGATATAAAGGTGTCATACTCCAATTAGTAACTACAGGAGAAAATTTGTTTAATGAGAAAAGATAATATGAAATTGAAACAGGTCAGACAAAAGTATAAATATAATGATTTGAATTGAGATGAGATAATCAAAATAAAGTTGAGAAAATTAAAAGAGGGGAAAAACTATGTAGAAAATGTAAAACAGTAATAAGATATGGAATAGAACACAAAAATGAGCATGAAATTGAGTTTGTGTCTGTATGAAGAAGTGTAACCCGGGACCATGTTATTTTCAAAAAGAGATGTTTTATTTGTATTATGGTTTTTTTTTTGTGAAAACCCAAATAAAATTTTCAAAAAAAAAAAAAAAAAAGAGTCACCAGCGACCAAACTGCTGGC